GCGGAGGAGCGGTGGGCATAAGCGAGGCAGAGTTTTCCTGGGGAGGGGCTGCCAGTGTGGACACTTCCACAACTTTGCTCCGAGAAGAGGTGTCTTCGTTACATACAGAAGATCGTACGCAGTGGAGCCGTGTGTCCGTCCTTTGGGAGTAGCAGAAGACCAAGTTTGATTATGTCTTTTTTTCCTTTTTCCGTATAAAATGTTACAGCTTGAAGGGAGTTAAACTAGCAGAGAACTTTTCTCAAGTTCTTCACTCCTTTGCACGCGCAGCCTGGCAAGTCGAAAGTCTGAGAAATCAGCCTTTTCTTTTAGGAATTACCAAACTTAATTTCCTCTTCTCTTTTTCTTGATTTTTAGGCATTTAAGAAGATTATTTCATTTCAATTCAGACACACCGAATTGTTGCCCATGTTTCTGCTGTAGTTGCAAAGTGCATGCCAGATTAAAACCTCTGAAATTTTGTTTTTCCTGTTAAACAGAGTTTTATTTTTTTAATTTTTAACATTTTTAATTGAAGTCTAGTTGACATACAATATTCATTTTAGGTGTACAACACAGTGATTCGACATTTATATAAATTAAAAAACGCTCAGCATGATAAGTATGGTTACCATCTGTCACCATACAAGCTTATTCCCACATTATTGACTACATTACCTACGCTGTACTTTCGTCTTCGTGCCTTATTTATCTTGTAACTGGAAGTCTTCTCCTTAATCCCCTTCCGCTGTTTCATCCACCCTTCCCACCCCCCACCTCGTCTCTGGCAACCTCCGCTTTCTCGGTATTTATGAGTCTCTTTCTGTTTGTACATCTGTTTTGGTTTTTTTTAGATTCCACGTGCCAGTGGAAATTATATGGTACTTGTCTTTCTCCATCTGGCTTGTTTCACTTAGCATAAGACCCTCTACACCCATCTTTGTTGTTGCAGCATTTCATTCTTTTTTATGGCTGGCTGATAATTCCTCTGTGTTTGCGTGTGTACCTTTATCCATTGGTCTATCGGTGGACAACTTGGGCTGCTTCCATATCTTGGCTGTTGTAAATAACGCTGCCACAAACATAGAGTCGCACATATCTTTTCAAATTAGTGTTTTCTTTTTATCAGGGTAAATACCCAGAAATGAAATTACTGTATCACGTGGTATTTCTATTTTTAGTTTTGTGAGGAGCCTCCATACTGTTTTCTGTAGCGGTGGCAGCAGTTTCCACTTCCACCGACAGTGAATAAGGGTTCCCTTTTCTCCACGTCCTCCCCAACGCTCGTTGTTTTTGTCTTTTTGATGCTAGCCATTCTGACAAGTGTGAGGTGGCATCTCATTGTGGTCTTGATTTGTGTTTCCCTGATGATGGGTGACACTGAGCATCTTTTCATGTGTCTGTTGGCCATCTTTGGAAAGATGTCTGTTGGATGTCTTTGGAAAATGTCTGTTCTGGACCTCTCTCCCATTTCTTAATCAGATTGTTTGATTCTTTAGTGTTGAGTTGTAGGAGTTCTTTATATATTCTGTATACTAACCCCATATTGGATATGTTGTTCGTAAATATCTTCTTCCATTCAGTAGGTTGCCTTTTGGTTTTGTTGATGGTTTCCTTCACTGTGCAGAAGTTTTTTAATTTGATGAAGTCCCAATAGTTTATTTTTGCCTTTGTTGCCCTTGCCTCAAGAGACAGATCCAAAAAAGTATCGCTCGTACCAATGTCCAAGAGTTTATTGCCTCTGTTTTCTTTAAGGAGTTTTATAGAAAAATCTCTGAAATTATGTGGCACCCCAGATAACAGGCTAACCCCTAGGATTTTTCAGCAGTATCTGTTTCTTTTAAGAGGATCTCAGGTAACACTTTACATCTAGCTCTGGGTTTTGGAAGGATTGCGGAGTTTAACCGCGTCTGTGAGAGGGATAATTTGAATAAAAGTGAAAATGCTGCCATCTGAATATTTAGGTTTGGAAAAGTCATTAACCAGACTATAAAACTTAATTCTTGTAAATGTTGACATTTTCTAGCTACCGTGCACTGCCCTTGTGGCCTCTCATGATAGAGGAAGGAAGTGAGGACGCACCTTGGGTGTCCCTGTTGCCCAGCAGCTCACGCGGGGAGGGGCAGAACCCACAAAGTGATTTAATGCTCCTTTACTTGCCCTGCACCTCAGAAAAATACTCATGTTAATATCTCTGTCACTTCCTGTATCCTGGCCCACAGCTTCAGATAAAAGTTCATTTAGGGAGTGAAAGTTCAGATCAGCAGGGCGGCTTTAACTTTAATCCTCTGGCTAGCTAATTTGTTATGTGATAGAAATTGCGGGTTTTCATATTCAAGCCTCTGTGTGGTGAGTAGCTGACAGGTACTGCGTTTTCAGCAGCGTGGTTCACTCTTGTTCCGTGACTGTATTGTGTGGTCAATGAAACTCATTGGGTTTAAGTCAATCACCTTAAAAGCAAAAGCTTTTGTTCTTTTGTTAATTAAGAGAAACTTTGTTAAGGGTTAATGTGGACTTAACCCTACTGGCCTAAATCGTGGAGAAAAGAAGGAATTTCCTGTCTGTGCTGATGAGAATTCTGGAGAAGAGGGGGAAGCCGGGGTCTCTGCTGGTCTTCGGCCCAGTGCGTGCCTTGCACAGAAGCAAGGTGTATGGATCCTATTGAGCTGGTCTCACTGGGCTGGGCAGCTCTTCCTGGATGGTAGCTGAGTAAGTGACTGCTGTGTGGCATTTCTCTTGGAATATGTGTCCAAAAACTGACTTCTCTAGGTCTTAACAGGAGAGGAAATAAAATGTACCTGGTGTTGTTTAATAAAGGATACCAGTGCCTATCATGAAACTGCTTTCTTCTCATGTTATTTGGAATTAAAACTCTGAGAAGTCAACCCCAAACCCTTATATGTAGAGATTTGGAGCAGTTGTAGATGAAAGATGACATAAAATGTGGTTTTGTAAATGTTTCAGTCTTGCTAAAGAGACAGTCGGCAGACTAGGCGCGTGACGGTGGTTGAGTGTCCTCATCCAGCGAGACGCCGAAAGCCGGTGAGGTTTGTCTTGGGTGTGAGAGAATGCTCTCCTTTTGGAAATAGTGGCTTAGAACACCATTCGCTCAGCTGACTGTTTTTTAGGGTGGTGAATACCTTGGCCAAGAGGATTACGTAGAAAGTGGGTTGGGTGTTTTTGTTTGTTTTTTTAGCAGCCGTAAGAATACTATTCAGAGTTTCTTTTTTTCTTTTTCTTTTTGTATGTGTGGGATTTAGGCTAAGTTGAATGTGTTCATTAAAGTTAGTAAGCATCTGCCCTGGGACCGTGATGACGACTCTCTCCTGGTACCAGGAGCTCGGTCGGGTGGGCAGTGAGGGGAGTAAGCAGGCACGTGCAGTGTCGGCCAGAGAACTGTGGTGGGGAAGCACATGGGTCTTGAGTGGAGGAAGGGGCGAGGGGAGGGGTGTGGACCACATCCACATGTGGAGATGAGAAAGGGCATGGTGGGGTGGAGGATGGGAGGTGCTGTAGCCGGGGAGCAGGATGTGAGCCAGAGCTGGGGTCCTCGGGGGCCCAGCCGAGCAGCACACAGCCCCAGGCACTGGTGAGCCAGAGACCTAGGGGTGCTGCAGGCCCGCCGTGCGCAGATCTAGGTGAGGACGCCAGGGCACAGGGCGTGCGTTGGGGCGGGGGCTGCGGGGCTCTACGTGCTCCCAGGTCCACGTTCTTATGCTGGCACCTTGGGCTTTATTGTGCGATTTCCATTTAGGGTGTGCAGCCTGGTCTAACTTTCATTGTAAAAAAGCAAAAGCCAAAAAGCCTGCATTTACATGGACAGTGGCTTGGATGGGGTGAGTCTGAAGACAGTCTAAGCAGGGCTGGGCCGTGTGGGGAAGGAAACCAGACCTCAAAGGGTCAGGGGGTGGTCAAGAGGGCCCTGGGGAAGGGGAGGCAGGCGTGGAGGCAGGAGGTTTGGGTGCTGAAGAGACAGCAGCCCGGAGACCCCAAGCTAGGCGAGTGTGTGCGGTAGGAGAGCCACCTTCCACCTTTGCTTACGGAGTAAGGTAGAACAGAAGACAAACGGAATTTTTTTCTAATTTCTTTTTCAAACGTTTATTTATTTTTGAGAGAGGTAGATGTGAGCAGGGGAAGGGGCAGAGAGAGAGGGAGACACAGAATCTGAAGCAGGCTCCAGGCTCCGAGCTGTCAGCACAGAGTCTGAGTGTGGTTTGAATTTGCAAAGGTCGAGATCATGACCTGAGCCAAAATTGGACGCTTAACTGACTGAGCCCCCCACATGCCCCATAAACTGAATTTTTAATAGCAGTTAATAATCCAGCACACAGAAATGCCTGTTTTATTTTTTACTTTATTTCTTTATTGAGAGAGAGAGAGAGAGTGAGCAAGCGAGCACACACATGAACAGGGGAGGGGGGGAGAGATAGAGAGAGAGAATCTTAAGCAGGCTCCACTGTCAGCGCAGAGCCCCACATGGGTCTGGATCCCATGACCCTGGGATCGTGACCTGAGCTGAAATCAAGAGTCGAATTCTAAACCAACTGAGCCACCCAGGCGTCCCAGAAATGCCTTCATTCTATATTATTCCTACCAGCTTTTTGAATTGTCTAATGTCATAGTAGTCTTGATAGTTGCATTAAATAGTAGATTGAAGACCAGAAAGGACTGTCCTCCCAGGTTTCACTAAATGCTATGTGGAGCAGTGTGAGGGCCCAAAAGGAAGGACATTATAGGAACCATCTAGGTGGTTACCTCTGCCCTCCATCATTGCTTACTTACCCAAGTTATCCTGCCGGCTCTCCCACCCCAGAGGTTCTTGTTCTTGTTGAAATGGGATCGGAGGGTAGGGAACTAATTGTTGGATGCCTGAGGTCCCTCTCAGTGGCCTTGGATGTAAGGACTCCCTGTACTCACCAGCTTGAAATTGGTCCCCGGGGGAGCTGGGTCTGTCTCACTGTTAGCCTGGTGACGTGTGTCGGTACTTATGCGTATCTATTGATCCGGCTGTCTCTACTCAGATGGCGCCAGCACCTGCCCCACTGTCAAGGAGTGGTTTGTGTACTCTGGGAACCCACTGAGGCACCCGGACCTCGTCAGGCCTCTGCAGATGAACATTCCAGGTACAGACAGCTTTGGTTTCAATAAATCAAATTTGTTCACCATTTGATACAAATCCAGTAATGGATCCATTGTGGAAACATATTTTTCTAGAACTGCGCTTAAGCCAATTTTCATTTTAACCCTGGGCCCAAGAGGAGTGTATCTAACAACATTCAAACATAGCAGAGGAAAGGGCGTTCGACAGCTGGGAACAGTCTGGGCCAGTCTGCTGCCTGACTGCCTCACCCCACCTGCGCTCTGTCCAAGGCCCACACCAGGGGAGAGCGAGCCACTCCGAGAGGAGCATGGCAGCCCATTGCTGCCAGAGGCCAGGCCTCGTGCCTGGTCATCGCTCAGTAAATGTCCACCAAATTCACAGGGTTGGGTTCTTGATATTCTGATTAAATTAACTCTTGTCTCCTCCCTACCCCTGGAAGTGTGTTTTGATGAACTGAAAAGGGAAGAGAAAGGGAAGTTATTTCAGCTGAAAAGTAGATTTTCCTTCACGAGCCTTATCTTAAAACCCTTAATGGGAGGGAAGGAAAAACAAAGTCACCTAGAAAGCAGCTGAAGTCCTTTCTTCCTGTGAGTTCTTGGTACCTACACAAGAGCACGGATTTATGACTCAGGTGGTGTTCTACACAGAGGCAGGTCCAAGGGGGGGTGGTGAGGGTTTATTTTTAGTGTCCCTTGTCATTGTTTCAGAGAACAAATATGTTCTAAAATTTTGATAATCTGTTTTTGTATGCATTAAATTCTCTCACGCCACTATTATTTTCAATCACATGGGCCTGTAGTTTACCAAATAAGGATGTGAGCACTGCAAAGTATTTTTCTTCTAAATAGAATTGTACTGGGGGAGAAGGTGAGGCAAGTTATTATACAGAATATTTCCTTATTCTCTCAGTCAGTGATAGACGCACACCTAAAAAGGTACTTATCAAAAAAACAAATGAAGATGAATTGACATTTGTGTTTACAGCAAGAAATATTTTGAAAGGATAACCAAAATAATTCTTCAGAAATGTTTTATTATTTCCATCTTATTGTGTCTTTCCAAAAATAATATGAAAAGGGATTATTATAGTTTTCTAAATTGTTTGAATTAAAGAGAATGTTTGGCTATTCGTCATTATATTATGAGTTAGTTTTAAAGGCCACTCCCTAAAATGTTTTAACAAACTCTGGAAGTCACAAAATTATCACAGAGACTCCTTCTGGGGCTTATGCAAAAAGTCTCCTTGGCATGACTGGCCCCACAAGGTTCTGCCTGTGATGCAGACCCACGCGGGGCAGCGTGCCAGGCTCTGCTCTAGGAAGAGCTCATGCAGAGGGCCGGGTCTGAAAGGCTCCTTTGTCCCCCATTGCCAGTGACCTGGATGTGGTCCTGAGCTTCCGTTGCTGATAATGTACATGAGTCGCTCTGCTTGTTTATGCTTGTGTTAATGATACAAAAATGACAAAATTTTAAATTTATTTTTTGAGTGAGAGAGCATGTGCAAGTGGGGGAGGGGGGGGAGAGAGAGAGAGAGAGAGAGAGAGAGAGAGAAGAAGCGGGGGAGGGGCAGAGGAGGGGAGAGGGGGGAGAGAATCCCAAGCAGGCTCCACTGTCAGCCCGGAACCCGCTGCTGGGCTCCATCCCATGACCCTGGGATCGTGATCTGAGCTGAAATCGAGTCGGACACTTAACCGACTGAGCCACCCAGGCGCTTCACCTTCCCTCACCAGCTTTTTTTTAACAAGATTTTTTTTTTTAATATTAAATACTTTTCTGTATCCATGAGAAAACATGCCAAATGGTTTTTAAACTAAAATGGAGGAACAGACTGTCCATGCTTCTGTGACAGGCGTTTTTCGAGGCTGAGACTACATGTGGTTAAAAACCATGGAATCCTCTGACCGGTGCTTTCCTTACACCTACATCAGAAGACTTGACACCTGTAGGTGCCTCTCATGTGGGTGTGAAATGCCCCTGAGGTCTGATCAGAGCCCATGTTCCCAAGTGAGGCCAGTAGTGCTGTCGGTGGAAGGAGTGTCACCTCAGGACACACGTCTGATTTTTCTTGTTCTCCCGAGAGAGCTTCAATCAGGTTGATTCCATAAATGTTATATTTTCGGTGAATCTCCTGGTAGAGAGACCAGAGTGTTTTTCTCTTAAAGGCTTTCTTCTAACAGCACATTTGATTTAGCTTGCTTTCTTAAATAGTAGAAATAAAACAGAAATCATAAGATATTTTTCAACAAAATGGAAAGGAAACAGGGGAGCAGAAAAATTGCAGAGGTTACCTAAAAAGGAGAAAGAATTAAAATTGACCAGTCAGGGAGCAGAAAAGTAAATGTCATCACTGGCATATTGTATTCAGGTTGCTCACTGTTCTTCCTGTGTTCCCCTGTGTGTGCAGGTTGTAGACAGTCAGATGTCCCCCGTGTGTGTGTGTACAGGTTGTAGACAGATGTCCCCTGTGTGTGTATGTAGGTTTTAGACAGTCAGATGTCCCGTGTGTGTGTGTGTGTGTGTGTGTGTGTGTGTGTGTGTGTGCAGGTTGTAGACAGTCAGATGTATGTGCAAGTGCCTAATCTGTGTTACAGGGATCACGTGTTGCTACGTGTTACAGCTCTCATTTATCTCACTACGTATCGTGAGACATGCTGTTTCCAATGATGCAAGAAGGGTGTACCTTGAAATCTAGCTTCCTTTCCCCAGACACAGCTCTTGAAGAGCTGGGGACATGCAACCCGCTTTCTTTCTTCTTCCTCACTTACCAGTGTTCCGCATTTCGTGGAATGAGTCTTGGAGCAAACAACAGGCAGGCATGAGAAATAGCATTTTTATCTCCAGAATTGGAGATTTTTTTTCTTTAGACAAAGTAGTAGTGATTTTCTCCCCCCCCCCCCCCCATTGTCATTTTTCAGTCCCCATAAGCGTACCCTTATTTTAGAAACCTGGGACAGCTGATTATAGACTTCTAATTGGCAATTTGTCTACCTGCAGTTTTTTTCAAGTGTTGTTCAAGAATCAGTAAATAAACTTAGTATTTCTGGCTATATAAGGACATTTTACTCACCAAAATCTTTCAGGTCCTCTTAGGAGACTTTTACAAAGTGAAATGACATGAAATGGTACATTTCCTGAAAGAAGGGCTGTGTTTAACTCATGTCTCATTTGCTGGGAAGTGATAGTGAAGCTTTCTAATTTCAGCCTCTCTTCTATGTACTGTTGACGCTTTTCATCTTGACACCTGATGGGTGCAGATCAAGAAAGTTGTCAAATGTTGGCAGCTTCTATGGGTGGTGAGTAGAAATCCCCAGCTGCCATCGGGTGCACACCAGGTGAGGAGGTGATGACAGGACGGCCCACTTCTGGAACTGCCTACCTGAGATCTTGGATCAAGAGAAATGGGTTTGGGGGGCCGTGGTGGTTCAAGTCAGTGAGGTGTCTTGATACAAGCGTGGGTCATGATCTCGCATTTGTGGGATTGAGCCTCGTGCTGGGCTCCTTGGGATTCTCTCTCTCCCTCGCTCTGCTCCTCCCCTGCTGTGTGCACATGCTTTTCTCTCCCTAAATAAATAAATAAATAAACAAACATTTTTAAAAAAGAGAGAAATGGGTTTAAAACCTCAGTTGTGGTTTTCTTTCCATTTATAAAAATAGTTTGAAGATTTGTCGGATAATGTGTTACAAATACACATTTGAGTCATAAGCCAACAGTTGAATTTCACACTGCTTTTTATAGCCACATTCACTGTATTTTGAGTGCATTAGGTAGATGTGGTATAACTGTCGTTTCGCAAGCGTGAAATTAGACATTTCATCCATGTACGTTTAGAGCTGAATGTGTTATTAATGTATTCTGCTCTGTTTATAGCTGAATGAATTTTTTTTCCTCATTATAAATAGGCTCTTGAAGTTTACCCAGCCGTAGTGAAGATTCAGTTCACATATAAGTCCTCAGGGATTTTAATTTTGTTTTATTTTGGCCAGGAATGCTCTATTAAACAAATATTCATGTAAATCAAACTCATGAACTAATAAATAATAAAGTCTTCCCAGGTAAACATGAGACATAAGATGTATTTAACTTTGAGAACCTCGTCAGTCACATCCTGACAGTGGGCACAAACCAGACAGGTGTGTGGTTTTTATCACCCTAGTGATGTGCAAGGGAGATAGCCATAAGATAAGTCTTAAGACACAGCTATTGAAATACATATTTCCATATAAAAAGTGTACACAATGGCCATGGCTTAGAGTCTCAAGAGTGTCTTTACTCAGTCGTGTCCACTGCTGTAAAAACACAATCAGAACATTGCTCTATTGCTTTGTTACTCAAGAGGTGCAGCCAGCAGCCCTTTGCCAGCAGTGGGTCGTCCAGGTTTCTCTCGAGAAGGTCTTCACCCTTGCCATTCACAGAAGTGACTTCCTTCCCTAGCCCTCTGCCCCACCTCTGTGGACTCGGGTCCCCCGGAGGGCTCCTAGGCTTTCCTGACCATCTGTTCACACAAAATCTTTTACCAAGTTACATAAGCAGGTTTTGAAGCTGATGTGTTTTAGATGCGACGCTAGTTGATGACCTAAAGATGAGATTGATTTTTTAGGCCTGTGGCTCTTTGAAACATCTCAACTGCCCATGGAGCTCTGGGGGAAGTATAGGGGCCACCCTTGATCTTTTCTGGCACAGTCTTGTCTGTCCCCAGGAGTGAGGGTGTGTGTGTGTGTGTGTGTGTGTGTGTGTGTGTG